ACTTTCCTTTCACTGTTGATTAGACAGTTGATATGTAGGGCTGGGAAACTAAACAGGTCAAAGAGCCAGACTGACCAATATAACTAGAGCTTGTGAAGGGGGAGCTCTGACCATTTTCAAAGATTGCATACCCTACCATCCTCCAGGAGTTATTTCTGTCCTGTGAAATATGAAGTATTGTTAAATCTTGTCAGAATTATATTTACTCATTTCTTTTTTCTGTTTCAAAAAAGGGGGGGGCAGACATGGAATGGAATGAATGAGTCCTCCATAAGCAAGATTAAGAGGCGGCCAATTAGCCAGAGGGTTTCCCACCATTATATAATGCTTTCATAGCATACTACCTATAAGAATACAGCAAAGGTCAGTTAAGTAAAGAGCACCCTGACTTAACGTTTTCTGAGAGATGCCTAGTATTCTAATGAAAACAGAGGTGGGATATAGAAGCAATTATTATTGCAGGTAAAATTTTTTAAAAAGAGGAAAGAATGTGATGGAACTGAATGATTTCAGGTGTTACTTAACCCAGAATGCTTTACTGCATGAGTGCTCAGATTAAATTCTCCCATATCCACCATTGTTCAGATAATGAAGAGAGGAGAAGGATTTTATTATCCTAAGTTCTTCTGGAAAGCATACTACAAAAGGCTCCATAAGTTCACTGATTTTCATTAATGAGTTTGTTTGATCTTGTGTGGCAGAAGTGAGCTGAGTCGTCAAAAGATGCACACCCAAGAGTTACTTTATCAGCTGGAAAGAGCAAATGAAAAGGTTATTGAGGTAAGATAATTAATATCGTCCAAATGTTATGCTTCAGTTATAAGGACACTCTTATTTAAATATTACTGTCATTTTGCTTGGAACTGTTCTGAGCCAGAGAAGCATATTCTTTTTCTGATCTTACCCATTGGAAAAATACTAGAAATGGCTAGTAATTTTGCTCCTGTCAAAATATTAAAATAGATATCCTTAATCATGGTGAATTTTGTATCCTGGATGAAAAAAAAAATACTACCTCCTGTCTGTGATTTATCCTTTTATCCTATTATATTTCATTTTTCTGCAATTACACAAACAGGAATGTGGTTTCATTAACCATCTGCTTAAAAAAAAAGAGAGAGAAAGTTTATTCTTTGTCCTGATAAAAATAAAGCTACCTTATTATTAGCACACATACCCCAAGTCCTGCTGTGTTGCCTACTCATAGCGGTGGGGTGTTTATGCCAAGTGTATATAATCCCAGCAGGATCATCCAAGGCTTGAAGGTCATTCCAGCTACCCAGCTAAAGCAAGCAGGCACCTCTATTGGGCAGTAACAATATAGGAAGATGCTGGAGGAAGATGATCACTTTAGTGACAACAGCAAAGGCATCATTTCCTACTGTATGAGAGAAGGCACTGGTAAACCATTTATTTATTTATCAAGAAAACCATATGTATATCTTAGATATCAGTGAATTGAAATAGATTGCATTTGGACACTCAGTCAGGAGATCAGGGTTTACTACTCAGGACATGAAAAACAAAGAAGGAACAACATTGCTTTCATAATCAGGGAGGATATAGCAAGAACAGCACTTGGCTACAATGCAGTCATGACTGAATAATATCAATTAGACTGTGGAAACCCCTTTAATATGTTGATTATCTAGGTTTATGCTCCAACCACTGGTGCAGAAGAAGAGGAGGTCTATGAGTGAAAATGACAGATGTGCTGCTTGTGGTTGGAAACTGGAATGCCAAAATTGGAAATATTAAGGAGGAAATGTAGTTGGAATGTATGGCCTAGGAAGCTGAAATGAAGCAGGAGAAAGAATCCAGTGATTTCTTCATTGCTAATACAGTCTTCAATGATAATACAACTAAAATGACACTTATATGCATGGATATCACAGATGGCATTCACAGAATTTGATTATGCTATTGGTAGTAGGAGATGCAAGAACTCAACAAGGAGTTGCAAGAGCTCAACAATGACATGGACAGGGGCTCACTGGAACAGACAAACTGCTTATGTACAAGTTCCAAGTCAAGCTAAAGCGGAAGAAGAAAGCCAACCAATTTCCACAATATGATCTTGAGAATATACCCACCATATTCAAAGAGAACATCAAAAATTGCTTGAAGTCCTGAACCAAATGAAATTAAAGAAGTTGTAAAGGATAAATGTGAAAAACAACTGCCGAAGAAGAAGAAACAGAAGAAAGCAACTGGATGTCAGAACAAATGGTAGAAAAAAGCCAAGAAAGCTAAAAAATCTCAGAAACTTAACAAGGAATTTCAGAGAGATTTTAAAAGAGACAAGAAGTAGTTTACAACAAAATCTGTAGAGAAATCAAAGATGTAAACAGACATGGAAAAACAAAGTGTTACAGAAGTTCTCCAAATTGAAATTTGGACTATAGGAATTGATGGAATATGTACATTGGAAGGATTGATAATGAAGCTCAAGCTCAGATACTTTGGTCACCGAATGTGAAGAGAGGACTCTTTGGAAAAG